GTGTGAACTTTGTATTAGATTTAATTACTTTGACGTCATTAAATTTATTACAAAGTCCACACATATTTTCTTTTTTTTAATGGTTTTTTAATAAAATTATAATATTTAATAGTAATAATATTAAAATGAAACAAGAATGGGTTGTCCGCTTTATCTAGAAAGCGCCACATGATGTTAGATAAGTTTAATATATGCTGGGTGATTTTTATTGTCTCGACCAACTAAATTTTTTTTTAATTTCATGTTTTTCGTTTTTTAAACAAAAACGTGGAATTAAAAGAAAATTTTCAGGTGGTCCAGAACATAAAAATCTCCCTGTGTATATGTATATATTTAATTATATACAACATATTTTTACATTATTTGAGTTATATTTTTGTATGAATATTATTTATTATAAAATTGTTTAATAAATTATAATAATGTTGATAATAAAAAAATGTTTTTTTTATTTGGCCTAATGGCTTTGGCATATTTATTTAAAAGATATTCATTTAAAAAAATGTTTACATAAATTATATTCATTAAAACTATCATCAGTAAAAAACCAAAAAAACATCTCTTTATCATCAATGTTATTAATTACTATTATTTTTATTATTTATTTGTTTATTCATTTATTTTATTGTTGTCCTGCTTGTAAACCAATAAACAACCATCTGAAAAGGAAAAAAATACCTGTTAAGATGGAATTGTTGTTCTTGGTGGTTACAAATGTCAGGTTAATTTAAGAACCTATTTTACAATATTATTAAAAAAAATATATTAGTATGTTGCAAACTTCAGGATGTTGAGTTGCAAGGTTTAGTAAAGGGTTGTATAAATATTAAAATATACACCCTGATTAAATTTTAGGTGCGAAAGTTTACCAAAAATTTAATTATGGTGGACATTTTAATATTTATAGAAACCTTCACTAAACCTTGCAACTTAATATTCCGAAGGTTGAACTTAAATATTTGCAATAAATGTAAAATTTAAAATACAATGTTGCTGATGTTTTAACTAGAAGTGTGATAGGGTTATCTTAATAATATACATATGTTTTATAAATACTTTTATTTATTTTCAAACATAAATATATAGAATATTTTATAAAAAAGTTTTTAAATTCTTCCTCCATTCGTAAAGACCAATAAGAACACTTGCACCTTCACAGAATAATTTTCTCTCTTCTTCAGATGGTTGAGTAGTAATCTGAAAATAAACAAGACATTAATAAAATAAATAAATGGATAAACAATTGGTAATAGTAAATTATAATAAATAATATTCATGCAAAAATACTAAATAAAAAAATAATGTACAAAGTATGAAATATATAAATAAATATATATATATATATATATTATAATTAAACTTATCTAACTAGAAACTTAGTTTTATTTTCGTGGAAATTCAAATGTAAATAAACATTTAAAGTACTTTTAAACAGATGCTTTGAAAGAAAAATTTAAAACTATAAATAATCTTTAAAACTTAAGACTTTAATATTTTAGAAACAATCCTTTACATTTTCAAGTAAATAAACAATGATAAGTATTAGGAATTAAGAAAAGGAAAGAGAAAAAAGGGAGATGTATAGAAATCCATGGAAGATAACTGGAAATGACAGAGTTAAAACAGGGACAGACTGTGTGGTTGACAACCCTGAGAAGAGGGGACCGGTAGAAAGGAAAGTAAGAGAAAAACTAACCAGGAAGAAGGACAGGAGGCACGTGGTTGAAGGAGGAGTTGGAAGTGAGAGAATATTATGGAGTAAAAGAACAAGATTTTTAATAAAAATAAATTTTATTCATAATTTTCGTGTTATTTTTCGTCGTAGCCCTTCCTCTTCATGGTTGTCCTCCTTCTTTGACCACGTGCCTCCTGTCCTTCTTCCTGGTTAGTTTTTCTCTTACTTTCCCTTCTACCGGTCCCTCTTCTCAGGGTTGTCAACCACACAGTCTGTCCCTGTTTTAACTCTGTCATTTCCAGTTATCTTCCATGGATTTCTATACATCTCCCTTTTTTCTCTTTCCTTTTCTTAATTTCTAATACTTATCATTGTTTATTTACTTGAAAATGTAAAGGATTGTTTCTAAAATATTAAAGTCTTAAGTTTTAAAGATTATTTATAGTTTTAAATTTTTCTTTCAAAGCATCTGTTTAAAAGTACTTTAAATGTTTATTTACATTTGAATTTCTACGAAAAGATAAGTTTAATATATATATATATTTTAAATATTTATTTATATTTTATACTTTTCATATTATTTATTTAGTTAGATATTCTTGAATGAATATTAATAAGTATTTTATTATTATTTTTCTATTATTTTTATTAATATTTAAATTTTATTTCTTTAAATTCTTTTATTATAAAAAATGAGAAATAAGGATAATTCATATGCATTGAAAGTTTCAAAAATTTGATTATTTTATTGTTGCTCTATTTATTTTCAGATAACTAGCAACAATAAAATAAATAAGTAAATGAATACATTATTGCATAAAATCATCATGTTTATATTACTTTTATATTAATCAAATTTAAAGAAATAAAATATATAAATAGTAATAACAATAATAATTATAGAATTAATAATATTGATAATAAAAAGGTGTTTTTTTGTTTGTATGATTTGTTTATTAAAATGATGACACGTTTATTAAATATGAATTGAATTAATATTTTTTAATAAATATATTTTAATCAAATATACCTAAACCATTATGCCAAACAAACAAAAAAACATCTTTTTATTATCAATATTATTATTAATTATTAAACAATTTTATAATTAATAATATTCATACAAAAATATAAATTAAATAAATAATGAAAAAATACATTATAAATAAATAATTTATATATACTAAACTTATCTGATATCATTTAGCACTTTCTAGATAAAGCGGACAACCCATTCTTGTTTCATTTTAATATTATTACTATTAAATATTATAATTTTATTAAAAAACCCTTAAAGGAAAAAAATATGTGTGGACTTTGTAATAAATTTAATGACGTCAAAGTAATTAAATTTAATACAAAGTTCACACATATTTTTTTCCTTTAAGGGTTTTTTAATAAAATTATAATATTTAATAGTAATAATATTATAAAGAAACAAAAAGGGGTTGTCCGCTTTATTTAGAAAGTCCCATTTAACAAAAAATTATAATTTTTTTCGGGGAAATTCAAATGTAATTATTTAAAGTACTTTGATTAAATACTTTTAGAAAAAAATTTAAAACTACAACCTTTAATACTAACACTTTAATATTTCAAAAAAAATCTTTTGCATTTTTCTAGTAAATAATTGATAAGTACTAGAAAGTTAACAAAGGAAAGAAAAAGAAAGGAAATATATAGACATGCATGGAATTTAACTGGAAATTAACAGTGCTAAGTACGGAACTTGACATGGTTAACTTCCTGGAAAAGGGGGTGGTATTGGGGAAAAGTAATTGAGAAAAACTCACCGAAATTCTGGACCTCGTCTTCACGCAGTGAGGACTATGCAGGCACGTGGCTAATGGCGGACTAAATGTGTGAAGACTCGAAAAGCGTCGCTGCTGTCTTCCGTTGAGAACGCCGTGCGTTGATTGGTTGAAAGTTTTAGGAAGTGGCGCGCGACGCTCATGGTGGTGGGGCACACTTTTGGCTATGAACGCTGCACCCTGATTGGCTGAAAAGATTTTTCTACTGGAATTGATTGGCGTTGATTGGCTGGAATTATTTCTTTGCTAGAAGTGGCGCGCGATGCATCTAAATTTGAAATCTCCGATTATAAAAATTTAAATTTTTTTTAATAATTTAAAGAAAATTTCTGTCTGAAGTCATTATATAATTATTTCTAAAATTGTTTATCGATTTTGTTGACGGAATCCTTTCTTCTTCTGTAAAAATTGCTGCAAATAAAACAAATCATATAAAAATTATTATTTTTGACTTCAACAATTGTTATTTACAATAAAATAATCATCATATATATGCACTGTATGTTTGTAATAATTTTTAGATTAAATAATAAATTAGAATTTAATACAATACTGTCATAAAAACTAAACATAATAAAAAAAATTTAATATTTTTAACCCCTTCACTTTGTGCGACACATACGTCATGTAATAATTAAATAATTATTTTCAAGATGGCGGACATAATTTTTGAAATTTTATCGTATTTTTATGAAATTTGGTATAAGGATTTGGTATATGGGTTTTAGAGGGTGTTAAATTCGAATTTGACCTTCAAAATTATAAATGTCGGACATAATTTAAATTTTTTTTAAGGATTTTAATGGAACTTAATTTTTGCATAAATTAAAAAAAATATTTCTGTAATTTTTAATTTTATTTTTTAAGTTATATTTTGATTCCGCGATCCCAAAACCCATATATTCTAAGTTATATGAAATTCCGCATAAATTAAACAAAAATGTTAGCCATTTTGTGATAAATTATTAATATTATTATACATTTAATTTTGTAATTAATTTTTAATTACCACAGAGATAATATAAGTAGAGTAGATAAGACATTTTTCCGTTTTGAATTAAATTTTTTTCTCTTGCTTATACACGCAAAAAACTGCGTATGTATAAATTTTTGGAGGGTATAAAATGTTGATAATTCTGTTAAAAGAAAATTCGAAAGTTTTCATTTTTACGAGGGAACGAACATTTTTCGATTTTGAATTTCAAATTAATTTAAAAAATCTGTGAATTATTACTTGAGAATTTATTGTGTCCATGAAAAGTGAATTTTCTGTCAGATTTTGATTTAGCGACTAAAAAAATCTAAGTAAAGAATTTCAAGCAAACTTTAAAATTTTTTAAGTAATAAGTTTCAAACGGAGTTGACACATTTTTAAAAATTTTTCTCCATAGTTCGTAATCACAAAAACCTCAAAATAATAAACTTCAAGCAATATACGAAACTATAGCAATTCATTTAATTGAGAGCATTTGTCTTGAAAATGTTGATGTTAATTGTAACTATCCTTTTTTCAGGTGCGGTCACATATTGGATCAGCAAATTTGGATTTTGTAAATTTTACATATAATTCAGAATCAACGACTCTAAAAATTTTGGATATACTCCTTGATACACAAACCTAATTAGTTATGAATTAGATATATCAAAGGTTAAATAAAATTGGAAACAACTGTTAATAAAAAAATAAAAATATAAATAATAATAAAAACTACGATCAACTACTTTACGATCTTCTTAATAAATAAATGAAAACTTAATACGGGAAATGTAATAATGAAGTTGTATCTATGTAACATAAAATTAATAAAAAAAAATTCTAATTTTAAAATAAAATTTCATATAAATCCTAAAAATAAAATTATAACTAACACTTGACTGCATGTGTAAATTAGAAGGAGTAGTAATTACAACATGCTCCGCCTATCTGAGATTCAATACGACAGATAATTAGCAAGCGTCCCTAATTCATACACGCAAAGCAGTATCAATATATATTCCTGGTCTTTGGAGTCGCTTTTGCTATTGCTGCTGCTTGAAAGAGCTTACGTTCGTTGCCCAGAGGTCTAAAGGATATGAGAGACTACCACGATAGGAACCAGGAACCAACTTGGTGGAACATCTTCTCCACAAAGTGTATATTGACGGACCAAACGGTGTTCGTGCATGATTCTAGTTACCTTGGTGTGTATGAAGGTTGAGTTGGTCTTAGTATCTTGAGAAGCACACGTTTCAACGAAGCTTATATATATATATATATATATATATATATATATATATATATATATATATAATATATATAGTCGTGTTGGAATTACGTCATGCTGCACTAGAAGAGAGTAGAGAGAGAGAGAGAGTATACACGTTGGAGTGTAGATAGGACGGGTCAAGACGGTCGCATCGAGTTGGACGACTTGAAAGGGTTAAAGTGCTGTCGTGACCTCAGGAACCAGAATCAGACGGGATTGAAATCAAGCGAATTCTGTTGCTAACTACCGACATTCCTGGTTTGCCCTAACACACAACATTCACGAAAAGCTTGTTTCTAGCTAGAAATTTGACGTCCTGCTGTTTCCTCTACATCAGCACATCACAAGTATTCTATAATATATTCAAAAGCCTCTTTCATATTTCAATAAACAACATTCAATTATATTGAAATAATTAGAAAATAATCACACAAACAGAAGAAATAGGGGATTCAACTTTTAATAATAAAGGAATTGCAGAATCTTATTTTTTCGAAATTTTTTTTTTTTACTTTCATTACATTGATGATGCACGGTGCGCCAGAAGGAGGTTTAAATAAAAATGAGTTGGCACTTAAAAATTCTTTTTGATTATGGTTCTTAAATAAATAAAAACCATTTTTCAATAGGTTTTAAAATCAACTTACGTGCCAAATTTAAAAAAAATTGAGTTTTAAATATATAAAAATAGTGTTTTATGAGGAACCAGAATTTATTTAATGTATACTTGTATGCGTATAGATAATAGATGTTTTAGATTTGGGTTCATATAAATTTATTAACATTGAATTTATTTTCTTGTTTTGTTTTTATATTTATGCATTAAGAGTGTCGAACGGTATCTGAAATTCTTTGGCAAGAAGAGAGCTTTAATTATCGCTCTGAACGTGAAATAGTATTGATTTTAAAATACTTTTTTCACGAAACACGAACACTTTTAACAAAATCCTCATCTTATAAATTTCCTAAATCCAAAAGACTGTACGAATCCATAGAAAAACATGGTTGCAAAACAAAAAGTAGAAAAGTAATCTAATAACAGCTGCGACTTTGTACGCCCTGCATGCTGCTGCCATCTGACGGTGGCATGAGGTAATGAACCTGTCATTATATTACTTTTCGTTTTGCAATCGTGTTTTTGTATGGATTCGCATAATCTTTCGGATTTAGGAAATTTATATAAGATAAGAATCTCTAGCTGCTTTTGTAAAAAAGTGTCCGTCTTTCAAGAAGAAAGTATTTTAAAATTAATGTTTATCATTTTCACGTTTAGTGCCGTTTTTATAGGGCGATAATTAAAGGTCTCTTCTTTCCAAAGAATTTCAGAGACCATTCGACTCTCTTCAATAAATTTTATCCCTCTTAAAATAGTTCTTTTAACATTATAATTTAATTTTTTAAAATCGGATACAAACACTACAGCAATATAATTATTTATATGTAAAATTAAAAATAAGTAATTATTTTATCATTTATTACAGTATTTATTAGATTAAATAAATTCTGATTCCCCATAAAATTACTGTTTTTTATATAAAAACTAATTTTTTTTTTAATTGGGCACGTAAACTGATTTTAAAAACTATTGAGAAATGTTTTTTATTCATTTAAGAATCATAATCAAAAAGAATTTTTAAGTGCCAATTCAATTTTATTTAAATCACTTTCTGGCGCACCGTGAATGTTTTAATATGTGTCTACTAACCTAAGCAGGAAGATTTTAAAAGAAGGCACATGATTTATATCTTGAGTAATTATTTATTTGGTACTAATGTAAACTACATGTAGTAGAGAACACTTACAACGAGACCGGTTATAACCAGAGATCGGTTATTACGAACGTAAATACGTTTGTTTTTGGCGGAATTAGTAGAACTTTAAGACAAATTAAATTTCGTATATGTGACGCCGCATGAGAAAAGGGACCTATCCCCGAAATAACATTAGGCCCAGTTTTCCGTGCACTGTACACGAAAAACCGAGCCTAATGTTATTTCGAGGATTGGTCCCTTTCCTCGTGCGGTGTCACATATTTTAAAATGGAAAACCAGAAGGAAAGGAAAAATATTATCTATAAGTGACAAATTTAATATTATTCGTGATTTTGAAAAGAAAAATTTGAAAAAAATGTAAGGAAAGTAAGATGATGAATCAGAATCAAGGTATTGAAAAGTGTCAAAGTTGGATGAAATTCTGTGATAACAGAATTTGATGTGAGTAGGTGGACAAGTGAATTGGTGGTGAGGCGCATTAACGACGCCCGGCTTTATTTCACATAGCGAACCCTGGCATGGGGCCAATGCCATGTATCACTCGGCATTGGAATTCGTTGTTCCTCGTCTCGTTACTAGGACGGTTTCGCATTTTTTTTCTAGTTTTATTTTCTATTTCTCTTTTTTTTCGTTCTATACTCCGTTCGTACCATTGTAAACGCTACGCTAGTGCGCTGGCTCCACTATAGATTCCTCTCGAAATTTCACGCTATCACTATTCCGAATGTATGCGAGTAGGCATTATAACGACTATCGTACTAAAATTGTTCATGTCACACGATCCTCAACGAATGTTCACTTGACGTGATTAGGTTTTACCCTACAGAGTAGTGCTCAATGACTGATCTCATACTTGTCAGCCAAATTCAAATTGATGCTTTCCTCATTTCCTTTTCATTTTCTAAATCGAACACATCAATTCTAACGAGAATATTTACCTCTATATCAGCTTTCCAATAATGTTTATATTATATAGGGATCGTCGTAGACACGAAAAATCAAATTTTTATCGTTGACCAACACGATTAAAAATGGTAATATATGATGACCCAATAATCCCTGCAAAATTTCAAGATAAATATATGCCCCCTTTCGGAAATACAGGGTCAAAAAAACTAAATGGTTTCTTTAAGATTTTCGTCTGCTGATTACGAATTTGAAGTTCGTTTTGAAACATTCAAAATGTCGGACAACAATTTTAAAAATCGATACAATTCACTTTTAAATCTATTTAATTGGTTTCAAAATCGTTAATTAGGGGTTTTCAAGGTCGGTGAACATAAATATGAAGGTAACCCGAGTAACCATTTTCAAGTAAATTGGATGGATTTTTAAAATTTTCGACCGCCATATTAGATCCGCCATTTGAAAATTTGAAAAATAGACCTTAGATTCGTAATCAGCGACCCCAAAAACTCCTGGGGAACTATTTTCAAGTAAATTGGATGGATTTTTAAAACTGTCGTCCGCCATATTGGACCCGCCATTTTTAATTTTTAAAAACTAACACCGGCTTCGTGTTCAGCGACCCCAAAAACCCTCGAGTAACAAGATTTAAACGGATTCGCTCATTGTATCGGCGACAAAATATTAAACAATTATTTTACATTAAACAATTATTTTTTAAACAATTATTTTCTTAATTCAGCATTTGTCCTTTTCGAGAGATTCACCCCATATACAAAGGTTTTCGGGGTGGCTGAATCCGAATTTAAGGTCAGATTTAAAAAATTAAAAACGACGAACCCAATATAGCGAAAAAATTTACAATTGATTCGATTCATTCAAAATTTGGTTTTTGGAGGTTTTCGGGGTCGCTGAATCCAAACTTGACCTCAAAATTGAATTCATCGACCCCCAAAAACCACCAAGTAACAAATTTTGAACGAATTGAATCAATTTTAAATTTTTCCGCCATATTGGGTGGCCAAATATGGGTCCGCCATTTTGAATGTTTAAAATCTGACATCAAATTTGGATTTAGCGACCTCAAAAACCCTGAGTACCAAATTATGTAAGAATCAACTTTAATTATTTCCGCCATATTGGGTATCAAGAATTTTCGAATTTGGTTCATAATTGTGGTCTAAAAGCTAATTTGTGTTAATATATTAAATAGAAATATTAATGCAATACTTGCACTTACTCGAGAGTCTAGGGGTAGGCAAGTAATAGAAAAATAATTTTTACACTTACAAATTATTTTAAAAAAATTATATAACAATTGCAGTTTAAGGCTGTTTGTGGTTAAAAATTTGTTTTTTGATAAATTTCCTTATATTTCTGAACAATTTATATAAACAAAAACACTGTACTGCATTTTTTGGTCAAAAATTAATCAAATTTTTAGTCTTTTCAGAATTTATTTCAGTGTTAAAAGAAATAAGAATTTTTAAATTTGGTTCATAATATTGTGGCCTAAAAGTTAATTTATGTTAAAATATTTAATAAAAATATTAAATATTTCAAAATAAAAATAAGGAGAGAAGGGGACATAACAACAATAGAAACGACTGAAAGTCTAGTCATAATAAACCATTTATGATACCCTATTGTATTAGTTGTCCTTCTATACCTGAATATTAAAATTAATTGCAAAAACGCAAATGCAGATCGAAAATTAAGAAAGTAGGTTTATATATAGGTACATTACGTCCTGCCGCCGTCAGATGGCAGAAGCATGCAGGCAGCATTAAAAAATAA